CTCACAGGAGGAAACCCACATCACCTCAGACTCTACTGTGCTGCACAAGATGTCACGTTTTTCCAACTGACCGTGTAAAGGGGCAAGAAAAAGCAAGAAACATAGCCGTCAGACTCATATTCAGATATGACACAGATGTTGAAAACACCTTTCAGGGAATTTAGAATAACTGTAATTATATTAACAGCTCTAATGGAAAAGGTGAGGTGCAGGCAGCTCAGATGGGTATTTCAGCGGAGATGGGGAAGAAAAGAATCAAATGGAAATGCTAGAAATGAGAAGGCCAGCTACAGAGATGAAGAATGCCTTTGAAGGGCCCGCAGCTCTTGATGACAGCATGGCACAGCTGGGGAAAGAAGCTAGGTCAATAGAAATTACCCAAACCAACACACAAAGGAGAAGAGATAAACCCGCAGAGCAGGACATTCGCAAGCTATGGGAGAGAATCAAATGGTCAAATGCACATGTAATAGAACTCTCGAAAAGAGAAAAGAGGCAGAAGAAATGCCCGAGCAAACGGTGACCATGTAGTGTTCACAATTAATAGCAGGACAGTGTTTTAAAGCTCAGAAAGTATGAGACAAAACATGTACATATATACACATACATATAGGAACTTCTAAGTGTGTCATACTCTAACTATTGAGTTGTTTGTAAAAGGGAATTTCCTGAAAATGGCCTAAAGGTGGGTGTGTCTTATAAGAGGAAAAGGGAATAAGAATCACAAGTTCTCACCAGAAACTATGCCGATTAAAAACCAGACAAAAAGGAAATATCTGTCCACTGAGACATGATTCCAAAAATAGCGTTCTGATGAAGGTGCCTACAGGGACAGGAAAGGATAAAGGATCACAGGAAGGTGCTGAGACCCATGGGCACTAAAGGATGAGCCGCCATCACTAGCCTTCAGGCATAAAACAAGTCACTAGGGTGATCACCGGGGAAGAGAAACCACCCAAAAGAAGATGCGGTTGGTGCATCTGTGAAAATGAAGGAATATGTGCCCCGACTCATTGCTTTCCAGTGTCTACCTCTGACTTGACCCTAGTGAAGCAAACCAGCAGAGGTGCCCAGTGTGCAGACTATAGCTGCTTAGCCTCTCAAGGGAAAAAGAACGGGAAAGGATAGCTAGGAAGGAGCAGAACACTCAGAATAGACACTGGCTGGCTCCGTAGTATGATCTATGTAAAGGGAGAACCAGGATTCTACCCCAGATGGACCTGAGTCCTAAGCACTACCCTGCCACAAGCAGACACCTGTCCTTGGAACAGCATCAGTGAGCTTATGATAAAGTTTGTAGATCTTACAGATCTCAGTAATCCTGAAAGCTAGAATTCATTGTTTGGACATAATCTTGCAGTAAATACTTAGTAAGAGTCATAATTGCAAAATGCAGAAGGTACTCCCACTATGACTAGACTTAGGAGTACCCAGTGATGTAATGACATCCATTAAAGTGACCTGGGCCAAGGGAACTACTATCATAGCCAGCTTTAAACTATTTACAAATGACACGGTGACCACATCCTTTGCTGGTAACACTGGTATTTAGAACAATTACAGATGAAAGTCATAAAAAATCACATCTTTGTTATCCAACCGAAAAGTCAGGATGAGCGAAAGTTGTGTACCACAGAAGCGGTTTGGCATTTCCTCACTTGCTGCACATAGTGAGTGGCTAGCGGTGAAGTATGCAGTGTAAAGAAAACCTTCCAGCGTGTGTGAAGATACCCTTTAACGGTCCCCTTCTGAAAGCCAAGTTCATGGCAGCTCCATGAATCTTTTATGTGTTTTCTTTCACCGTGCTGTAAAGATGCTTCAGAAAACTGGCGTGAAGAAAAGTCAGTGGAAGGAAATCACAGAAAGCCAATCATCTAGCCATCTTTATCCCCCCCCCCCCCAAATGGGGACCTGGCTCTGCTGCTAAGTGAGCTGCAACCAGAGCCAAGCAGAACTTGTCTTGAAAACTGTCAGTCTTCTTGACCCTCTCAAGACTTCCAAACAGAATTTCTTCCCCTTTAACACAGAGATGAACACAAAAGGTTTTGTTGTTGTTGTTGTTGTTGGTTTGTTTATTTACCTGAAGCAGCAGCATCTTAATGGAAAGTTTAATCAGAGAACACAATCTTCATGGTCAGACAGACCTAAGTTTGAATCTGTATCCTCGTATGAGCTGTGTCTTTAGGCAAGTTCATCATCTTCTGCCTCTATCATTGCCATTTGTAAAATGACAATAACTGTCCCTACCCCGAAAGATGCTTATGAACATGACTCGTGATACCCTCTGTGATTATTAGTGAGATCTTCTTTCCTCACATAGAAGGGAAAATGAAGTAGAAGATTGCTCTTAATCAGATCAAAAAATCAACAAAAAAACTACCACCCCCTTATACAGTCAGTGAAGACTCCAGGGTAATGTCTCCATGCAGTGTCTTCTCTAGGCATTGAGAATATGGGCAAGGTCCTTGTCCTCATGGATCTTACATTCCAGTACAAGAAGTCGGGTAAAGAAAATAACAAGTATAATGAAGTCAATACGGTACTGGTAGAGGTGGTGGCAGCATGTCTATTTTTGGAAACAGATAAGGATGACCTCACCATGAAGTTAGGGCATCTGAACTGAAAGACAGATAATGAGGGGCGCTCACCATGCCAGTACCTGAAAGAAGAAAGCGTTCTCTACAGCACAGCTCCTGGGCTTGGCATGTTTGGGACTCAAGCTTAGAGAAGTCAAGGAAGTTCAGAAGAGCAATTTCCCCTGCAAAGTCAGAAAGAGAGGCAGGAAGGAGTCAGGTCACGCAGCCACCCCTCACCCACAATATTAAGCACTCCAAGTACCCGACATTCAACAGTGACCAGCAAATCCTGGCCTCTGGGGGCTGACATTCCACTGAGGAGAGACTCCTAGGACACTGAAAACCCTGGTAAGAAGTTCGCAACCACAGGATATACATGACCTCTTTTGGCCCCCACTTTATCTATGATATAGGCATTGGTGCTGCCACTCATGGAGCAGGGAGGAAAGCAGCCAAGGTTATACTATGGAGCCTGCCTGAATAATCACTGGCTGTGGCGAGGCTTACAGGTTAGGAGGAAACAGGACTGAGATCTGTCCTCCAGGATCACCTCTCAGTCAAGTGTAGAGACAAGATCTCCCAGCCCAGACTGTGCCATCTCTTCTGGTTTGGAAGAAAATATGACTGTGCTCTGGGAGGTTTTGTAGTGGAAATCAGGACAGTCAAGCCAGAGTGGTGACACACATCACCACTCTGTGACACAGCACCTGTGACGTAGCTGCAGGAGGATCGGCAGTTCTATGCCGTCCTTAGCTGCACAGCCAGCTCAAAGTCAGCATAGCCTACAGGAGACTATCTCAGGGGAAAAAAAAATCAAACCAAACCAACAAATAAAAAAGGCATGATAATCAGAATCAAGGCAATGTCCCGACATCACCCAAACAAAACTGGGGCTCAGAGAACTGTCCTTCCCCAATTCCTAAATCCTGCTGCAGTAGCTCTCAGCAGGTCTATGCCATGCAATAAGGGTTCCACAGAGGAGACCCACAGGGCAGAGGTCTCAGGACCCAGAGGAAGGGAGGCGCCAGCTCTCCCCACTCACTGAGATGGAGCAGAGCTCTGATGGGACAATCACAGGTATCGATCAGGAGGCCGGGGAATCCATCGGCATTTCTCAAGCTCTGGGAGATACTGAAATTAATGAATAGGAGACAAAAATGAATAAATTGGCTGTTGCATCTGATGTTCATTTAATTAAGATGTGGAGTTCTTCTACTGGAATATAAGAGTAGAAATGACTGGGTTTGGGCCGTCACACATAAAATGAAAACCAGATCTTGAAGGCACACAGCCTTTTCTTTGTATCTTCCTCTGGCTCGATTTAATTATGCATTACAAGCCACCTTACATAATAATTACAATTGTCTGCCTTGATACAAAGCCTCTTTCTGTTTGGAGACTAAAGCAGGGGAGAAGCATTACTACAGTATCATTTAGTGAGAGCAGTTGCCTCTAGATTTGTGTTTTCAGCAGATGTTTATCATGTACCTACTGTGTGCCGAGGCCTGCCCATTCCTTCAGGAGGCAGTGAGTGAGTGGACTGTGGTCTCTTTCTCCCCATGCCCATTCTGTATCCATTCAGCCTAGCAGCCTGACTCCACAGAGCTGTCTTGACCTGGAGCACTCATAGTCCCAACAGGGAACCAACTCGTATACCAGCCCTCCAAAATAGAAGAAGGCAGGGCACTTCCCCAGGGCTCTTCCTGATCACACTGGGCTGTAGATGTGGGCAAGGACTAGGAAAGAAAGATTCAGAGAAGTGATTCATTTCCCTGCTAGATATCAGCAGGTAAAGTCACATCTAGGAAAATGTACCAAACCTTGGACAAGGAGAAACTAGAGACTCGGGAGGAGACCCAGCCAGAAAGAAAAAGCAGCTGTGTGCAAAGCCACAGCTGGAGATAGAACACAGTGAACCTCAGCTACCTCATACCTCACGGTTCTGTTTTGGTCCTTGTTGCTGTGTGTCTTTGTTGCTGTGATCACAGCATCAGTGGTCAAAACTAACTTGAGAAAGAAATAGGTTTGATCGGTTTACATGTCCACATCATGGTCCATCACCGTGGGAAATCAGAGCAGGAACCTGGAGGTAAGAACTTAAGCAGGACCACGGAGGAATGCTTGTACTGGCTGGATCCCTCTGGGTAGCAGCACAGCTAGCTTTCTTACACAGCTCAGGCCCACCTGCCTAGGGATGGCACCACCCACAGAGGACTGGTCCCTCCTACATCAATTAAGCAATTAAAAAAACACTTTCACAGAAAAAGGTACAGGCCTGTCTGATCAAGGCAAGTCTTTAACTGAGGTTTTTTTCTTCCCAGGTGACTATCAGTTTGTACCAGTTTGGCAGCTGAAGCTGACCACGACATGTACAGTCGTCACTGAATACTTATATCACTAAAGTGCCACCCCCTTGATTTCTAGGTATGACAGTTTTGGTCGCCTGACAAATGTGACCTTTCCAACTGGCCAGGTGAGCAGTTTCCGAAGTGATACAGACAGCTCAGTGCACGTGCAGGTAGAGACCTCCAGCAAAGATGACGTCACCATAACCACCAACCTGTCTGCCTCGGGTGCCTTCTACACTCTACTACAAGGTAAGTCAGCCAGGGCCTGGGGACTTTGAGACCCAGAGATGAAGATGACTAGAGGAGGAAACTATACAGTAGCTGCCCAAGACCAAGAAAGCCTTCTGCTTTGGTTTTTCTCTGTACAGCCACCTCATTTGCAAAACACATGAGGCAGAAGCCTGTAAATTGTCTCCCAGAGGCTTCAGAGTGATTTTTCATTGTCCCATCCTATTATCCTCAGAACAAAGAGGAGAGAACCCATTAGTTGTTAATCCAGGTGACCTCCTACTCTGCTCTTGTAATGGCTCCCAGATTTAAAAAAAAAAATTAGCTCACACTGGTGCAAGAGAGACAAAGGCCAAGAGTAATTACACCTAATTGTGGCACGGATTTGAGCATGAAGAAGTCCTTCCAGGAGCCAGGGAGAGGTTTGTGCCTCTGCTAGGACTCCAGGGTTCCCCTTCTGTGCATCTGTCAAATCACCTCGGATGCGGATTGGTGTTTTAGCTTCAGGTACCTGAGGGTGAGGGAATCTTGCTGTGAGTCCCCTATTTTGACAGTTCCCATGGGAAGAGGTGACCGGGGCAGCACCCACAGCTTTGTTGAGTTTGATGACCTAAAAGGATCACCAGTATCACTTAGGAAAGCTCTGTCTGAATTTTTCTCTTTCTTCCCTCATCTGATACACTTCCAGACCTCAATGTCTAAAAGACACTCGGCTCTGGGTGTCCAAGGTCCAGTTCTAATTCTGTCTCTGCCACCTCATTAGACCACAGCCCTTGGATTTCTTCTGGGAAAGAAAGCATGTTGAAGGGGTGTTGAGTAGTATGGAACAGTCTCTGGGTGGGTGGACCTGAGGCACCTGTGCCTGCTGGAGGGGGTCACTCTTATTCTCTGAGCCTTAGTTTCTGGATCTTTAAAATGGGGCTGCATTAGAGGATCTGCCTCACAGAGTTTTCTAGACATATCTGGAGACAGCATTCACAAGTGAGCAGCATGGGCCAGGCACAGAGTACTGCTCAGAAGCTATTTGTTGGATTGACTAACTAGTAAGCAGTTGGATTTCCCTCGAGGAGGTAAATGTTTGCATTATTGCTTTTGTTCCCAAACATAGTTTTTGTCTTTCAAAAATCTGGACAGAAAATAGAAGTTATTAAAGAAAGCAAGACCATGCCCAGGAATTTCTTTCTATAATGAGGAGTTGGGACATACCATTGTGTATGCTCTGGCAGGGAAACTGCCATCTGGTAAGAACCCTACCCAACCTACCAAGGACAGTGACTGTTAAGCTGTGTGACCTTCAACCCAGTTTCTTCCCTCACCATGCATGGTTTTTCTACCCACTCTATACTGCCAGGCCTGCTTTAATAAATTTTTATGTTTAGGCAACTTTTTAAAATACAAAAGTGCAACACTCCTCAATTTTAAAATGTAGCACCATTTAATCACAGCTTTCCGGGCCAGGAAGAATAGAAGTCCAGTTTTCAGCATCATGCCTAGATTGTCAGACACACTCCAATTCCAGGAACACTAGAATGTAAAGGAAAAGCACGTCCTAGAATCCAGGGGATACGGCATCCATTGTCTGCCTGGAACCACTGCAAGCTCTCTGTATCTTTCACGTTCCAGGCTTCAGTGCTCAGCCTGGCAGCCGTCTCAGCAGAGTCTGTAAGAAGCTCTCTCAGCTTCATCTTAGGTCTGAGCAGTGGGAAATAATGAGAAGTAGCTGCTAATGAGTAGCACCCTTGGGCAGTCACAGCCAACATTAGCTGGGATCGTGTGCGACGGACGGACCTCCCCACACGCTGGCCCATCCAGAGTCAACAGTAATAGGCACATGTGCATTCCGTGAGGAGAAGCTTTACAAGATAAATTGACACAGGCTTTTTCACTCTTCGAATGGAAGCGAAATACAGATTGTCAGTGAACGATGCATAGCAACGCTGAGGCAGATTTTAGAATCCCTGTGAGTGACAAAGTGTGGAAAGATGGAGTCCAAAGGAGAGAGAGGAGAGGCCCAATCCGATGTTATTCTAGTAGGAAGACTCGGTGAGGGTTTCCCATGAAGACTACATCTTTTTAAAACGATGTTTTCATTTTGCTTAATGTGTATGAGTTCTTTGCCTGCATGTATATATGTGGACCATATGTGTGTCTGGTGCCCACAGAAGCCAGAAAGAAGGGTCAGATCCCCTAGAACTGGAGTTACAGATGGTTATGAGCTGCCATGTGGTTCTGGGAAATGAACTCAGGTCCTCTGGAAGATCAGCAAATGTCTTAACTACAGATCCGTCTTTCCAGTCCCCAGCACTATTTTTATGGCTTAACATAGCCTAAGACATACTTCCAGCAAATGCTCACCAAGCACATCCACTAATAATAATGCTAGCTATGTTTTGAACACTTATCAGCTAAAAAGGACTTGTGGCCACTTGTGTCTAACTTCTTTCACCTTGAGTAATATCAATAATGCATTTTCTTGCAATGTTATGTGTAGTTGAAACAACGGAAACAAATTAAGAATCTACTTGGTATTATTAAGTACGTTGTATCGCCAAATAATGGAAGACTGAAGTCATTGTTGTTTTGTTTTTTTGTTTTGTTTTGTTTTGGTTTTTGGCTTTTTTTTTTAAAAAAAGATGTAGGTTTGTTTGTTTGTTTGTTTTAAAGATTTATTTATTTTATGTATATGAGTGCTCTATCTGGATGGACACCTGCATTCCAGAAGAGGGCATCAGATCACAGTATACACGATTGTGAGCCACCATCTGGCTCACAGTTGAACTCAGGATCTCTGGAAGAGATCTTAACTGCTGAGCCATCTCTCCAGTCCAAAGACTGTGGTTGTTATGAAAAATGTTTATTACAAATATTTAACAGCATGATATGATACATTGCCTAATGAAAAAACTCCATAACTATTTGACTCTATTAGGAAATACTGTAAAATCTACAAATATACAACGTATTTCCAATGGTTTTGAGTATTGGGCTTATATACTCCAGATATCTTCCTTCTTCAGTGACAAAGTATTACTTCTATATTTAGGGGAAACACATTTAAACCCCCATCCTCGCCTCTGTCCTCTCTCCTCTTAAACATCTCTGCTCTCTTCCCCTCCAGACCAAGTCCGGAACAGCTACTACATTGGGGCCGATGGCTCCCTGCGGCTGCTACTAGCCAATGGCATGGAAGTGGCTCTGCAGACCGAGCCACACCTGCTGGCTGGCACTGTCAACCCTACTGTAGGCAAGAGGAATGTTACGCTGCCCATCGATAATGGCCTCAACCTGGTGGAATGGCGGCAGCGCAAGGAGCAGGCTCGCGGTCAGGTCACAGTCTTTGGACGCCGTCTGCGGGTAAGTAGTTCCTTGCAGCCACTAACCTTGGTGCAGGCACTGGGGTGTGGGGGTATACTTAGAGAACCAGGTTCCATGTTTGAAACTCTCCCCAGTTTCTTCATCTACCAAAGGGAGAACTGAGGTCACAAGCCACATGTAACAAAAGGCTGTGAGGCATCCTTTCAGTTTTCTGTGAACACGGCTGGCTTTGGAGTCGGCTCTGAGCTGAGTTACCAGCTTACTTTATTCCATAACTGAGCTTGGGCATGTCAGTCACCTTAAAGCCTCACTGTCAGTCACTGGGAAATAAAGCCGATGTTGCATGCTGTTTCAAGGATTAGAAGTGGCATACAGTGTCTCACACCGAGCTTGGCACACGTCAGGATCAGTAATGGCTGCTGGTGTCCTTACCACTATGCTGCTTATTGTTGTCACTGCTAGTATGCCCCCAAGTTTATTTCAGCTACTTAGAAAATGAGTCATATTTGCCACTCTTCCTGAGTCAGATGATCCGTTCTAATGATCAAAAGGACTGAGTATGGTGGCAGGGAGGTCACAAGTTCGAGGCTATCCTGGCCTAGGTACCAAGACCCTGTCTGTCAGGATGGTCTTACCATAACTGTCACTGTGGATGAGAGGCGCTGCCTTGAAGGCTAGTATTTTGGAGCATTTTTCAGTGTGGAGCCCTGAGCACCTTGTCTGCTCCCCTTCCGTGTTTCTGTAGAGTGAAACCTCGGCCCAGGACTCACTACCCAGCAGACTTCCTCTCCAGTTTCAAAGAGCAAAGGTTAAAGGGCAAAGGGCTCTAAAGCGGGAACTTGTGGATGGACACTTGCCTGGCAGGTGATTAAGCTTGGAAACAAAGAGAAAGCCAGGGCTGAGGAAATCTGGAGCAGCAGTTCAGTGGTTGCAGATTGCCCACTAATACAAAATACAAAGCAGCAGGCAAGGGGCTGTACAGAGGGACAGCTGGTGCCCCGGGCCTGGCTTTCTGCCCAGGACCTGTAGACCACAGGTGCTCAGTAGACAGCTGCTGAGCTGAAGTGAACCAAAGAACATTCTCGCTGCAACAGTGGACTCTTGATTCCCTGCCTCTCAACCAAGGAAGTTTATGTATGCTCCCATCTTCTCCATGAGCAATCAAGGTCAAAAGATTGTTTTTGATTCATATAACGAGGTAGTTGTGAATCCTGGGAAACAGATACAGGGGAGAAGCATGGTGGTTGATGACTTACCCAACAGCAGAAACCAGAGCCCAGGAAACCAAGCTTCTTTTGAACCCTCATCAGCCAAGAATTCTATAGCTAGCTAGCTAATGTGGAAACCAGCCTCCTACTAGTTCCTGTGGAAGGCCTAGCTAGCTGTCTTTGTTCCCTGCCACCATCTGTGGTCTCCCTAAACCTTCATCTGCATTTTCAAGAGCCCTTCCTGCACTTCTGAGGCAGTGAGCCAACGAGGAAGTTTGACCTAGGTTTGGATTCCCACTGGGCCTCATGCTTAGCCTCCATCAGCTCCTCTGAGCCTAAGCTTCCTCTACAGATGCAGAGGGATGATGTATTCAAAGCACCTAGCCCAGAGCTGCAGATCCCAGGTGCTCAGTAAAGGGCAGTGATTAGTGCTATTAGGAGTTTCTCTCCACCGTGTGAACAGGACCTGAAGTTTCCCAGGCTTTAATTGGTCCCTCTCCCAGCCAGAGATAGATGATACTCTAGTCCGGTGGCCACATCTCCCGCTTCCTCCCAAAATAAATGGCCACCAACAGTGGCAGTTTGTGGAATGAGAATGTTAGCCGGGTGTGCCTCCCCATAATGGAGCTCATTTTTTATACAGCTGGGAATTTTTTTTAATAAAGAAAGATGTAAAATAATCTCATTGCTGCCACTGCCGAGCACAGGAAGCACAAGGTGCTCCCCCAGTGAACTGTTCAATTCAGTTTTATTAATTTTGTCACAGAGGTACAGATCCCCTTCTTCACTGGTATCCTTGGGGATGGAGAGGTGCTGTCCTTGTGGCACCTACACCGGTGGGATAGGAGGATCTCCCAAAGGTGCTTTCTAAAGGTTCCCACCATTGTTGCCAGTGTGCCCCCCACCCCTTCACGCACCCTCTCTGCAAAGAACACGGTTTGAGCTTCCAGCACCTCTGATTTTTCACAGGAATTGTCTGCCACACGGTTTTTGCTTCTGCAATTGTGTTTGATTACCCTGGGGAAGGCAAGCTTATTATAACCAGGCCATTCACAGCTAAAGTCGCCTCGGCATCATCATTATAAATCCTTATTTTCGGGGCCTTGGCATTTGTATAGGGAGAGTGGGGGAAGACACACACAGCCCTCCTTCCTCTAAGACTGACCATGATCATGTGCAGTCATTTAGTGGAAATAATTACAGTCATTTATCCAATGCCTTCTATGCACCTAGTTAGCAGTCCGCTGAGGATTTACTCACAAATTTGGGAGTACACACGGTAAGAAAGTGAGTCTCTGAGAAGTAAAGGCACTTGACCAAGGTCACATAGGACGGCTAGTCACAAAGTTGAGATTGACATTCCAACCTTAATCCTGACACCTGCCTAGACCCAAACCCTCTTCTAAATATACAGATCCCAAAAGGATCTTTGATTTCCTCAGGCCACACATGCCATTTTACATTGTGTGACCTAATTATCTGCTTTCCTCTTGGGTTGTCTTGTTTGTCAAACTTGCTGAATGACAAGTAGAAGAGACAGCAAAGGTGCCCCTGTGCCCTGTAAAGCCAGCTCTCTTCCTCACTCCCAGTAGGTAGCTTTGAAAAACTTACTAACATCTGGGGACAGCCTGTGCCTACAGGTCAAATCCAAAGACTCCAAAGCATATTTCTTTATTAAAATATGGAGCAGGAGATGTGGAGAAATGGCTTACTCAGTAAAGTGCTTGAGGGCCTGAGTTTATTCCCCTGAACACATTTGGGGGAGGGGGACCAGACATGGTGACATGTTTGTAATCCTAACTCTAGAATGGCACAGAAGATAGATCCCTGGGGCTCAGTGGACAGCTAGCCTAGCTAAAACAGAAAGTTCCAGGTCCCTGCGTATCCCGCTATGTACTCATACACAAACATACAAAGCTCCAACTTGCAGCTACCTCCATAAGGATCTATAATTCTGACTCAGAAGGGAAACTGAGTTGGTGGTGGCCTCACAGGCCACAGGGAGACTAATGAGGGGGCTCCTGAGCCTGGAGGCAAAGGCAAAGTACTCTAGAGTTAGGACTAGTTCCAACCAGACTACAAGAGAATGTGACTACAAGTGGGAATGTGAATGCTACTGCCTTCCAGCAACCACTGAGGAGAAACAAGAAGGGATGTCTCAGAAGACAGAAGGTGACCCAGAAGCCTTGCCTGTGGGCAAATGCAGGGGAGTTCCCAAAAGTAGCAAGTATAGTGCCCCAGGAATGCTGGGGAATTGCTCAGAAAACCATCAAGTATCTGATGTACTAATGAAAGCAAAGCCCACACTTGATTGTACGAGAGCCACGGATCTGCAGCTTCCCTGAGCTTGGTTATCTTGAAATCCAACACAGCATATTGTCTGGAACAGAGCAGAGGAGTCTGGTGTTAATTTGCTGGACTTGCTTGCTAGCTCTGTTTTTAGGATAGAGTTAAGAGGGATCTGACTTCTTTTATTTTTAAGTCCCCATCGATATATCACATGATAAAATCCTATGTCTTCGTCAGCCGGTGATCCCATGTGCCCATCCATCACCCATGTCGTCTTTATTCTTACAACAGGCCTATAAAGCTGGCATCATTTTTCCTTATGGTACAGATAAGGAAACTTCAAAGCGTTAACAGATGGCAGGGTAAGGTTTGATGCCCACAACCTGTGCCGCTTTTTGTTCTTTGGCGCTCAACACAGTTGGTCAGTCATCAGAGCCAAATTCTCAGTGTCCACATCTATAGTCTCTCTTTCTTATCCCTTCCCCAGGTTCACAACCGAAACCTCTTGTCTTTGGACTTTGACCGTGTCACACGCACAGAGAAGATCTATGATGACCATCGCAAGTTCACCCTTCGGATCCTGTATGACCAGGCAGGGAGGCCTAGCCTCTGGTCACCTAGCAGCAGGCTGAATGGGGTTAATGTGACCTACTCCCCTGGAGGTCACATCGCTGGAATCCAAAGGGGCATCATGTCTGAGAGAATGGAGTATGACCAGGCAGGGCGCATCACATCCCGGATCTTTGCAGACGGAAAGATGTGGAGCTACACATACTTAGAGAAGGCAAGTGTCTGTCTGTCTCCCTTCATCAGTGACCTTGTCATATAGAGCTTGGTCATTGTGGCTATAGTTTTTAAGATGGGTACCACTACGCTCCCCAGGGTGGATGGAACTCCTGGCCTCAACTGGCCTCCTGAACAGTTGAAGGCATTCACTAGTACACCTGCCTTTGTCATTGCTCCCCACAGCCTAGACTGCTAACCTCAGTAGGATAAATCTGACTGTTATAGTTTCCAAAAGAGGAGATGCACATCTTTCAAAAGGAAAGAGTATATGGATGGTCTAATATGATGAGAAGGAGGTCCTAAACCAGGGAAACACGAAAGTCTTGCTGATGGAGGAGAACTGGCCCATCCTAACTGGTCCGAGGGTGCTGGCCCAGGACAGGGTTCTGCTCCGAGGATTATCACACACAGTGCCAACTCCCTATAGAGAACCAAGCCAGGGGTCAGACATGAGGCAGAGCAAACTTAATCCCATGCTGCTAGAACTGGGTGTGGGTCTCATAAATACCTTCCACTTTGGGTTAGGATTCATTTCACAGAAACTAGGAATCAAAAATGACCTAAATCATAAAACATGTTTGGGTTAATTTTCTTAAAAGTACCTAAATTCAGAAATTGGTCTCATATGGAAGGATATGGCAGTTTTGATACCTAGATCTAGACTAGATACCTGATGACTGTCATGAGACAGAATATTCACTTCATGCCCCACTTCTGGTTCCAGAATCTTTACTTTGTGTCTTGTTTTCTTGTCCTGCTCGACTGTTCAGGGTCCCAGGCTCTGCTTGTTCTGTGGTAAATGTCTCTGTCTGTGCTGGAGAGCAAGGTACTCTCGCAGGGTTACAAGACAGACAGTGGACGTCATCCCAGGCCCTGAAAAGCCACTCCTGGGGAGGGCAGAAGTTGCCAGAGTTACACAGTGAAAGCATTTATAGAACAACCTTCTCCCTTCCCGTTCCAGCCTGCCCTACCCCAGGGTGAGCCCATGACTTGCTACCACATAAAATGTGAGCAAAAGTCTAAAGTGCCCTTCTCAAACATGGTCTTTATGGTATAGGCGCAGAGAAGCCACAGAAACTGTTTAGCAGATGAAGGTCATCAGGCTTTGAGAACATCAGGTTGTGTTTTAGAGCATTCCTTCTTGCTTGAATAGAAATACTGTGGTCAGAGGTCTGAATCAGGGAAGGCAGTAGGGAAGCCGTTGCAAGTTGCAAATACTTTAGGCCAGAGCATCCTGGTCTCCCACCCCTTTGTATGCAGAAGTGATCTGATCCATACCACACAAAGGAGCAGACATACAGACTGCTCACAAGAGGAAAACAAGTGAGCAGAGTGGACTCAGCCCTGCAAGGCCAAAGGCTGAGATTAAGTTCAGCCACAGCATCTCTGAAACCTACTGGCAGCATCCCACGGTACACAGGACGAGACACCTTGCTTGGGCATATTGCAGAACACCACTTTTTTCAGCCTTCCATTTCTTTCCTTTAAGTTGTGGGTACTTGGGGCTGTCATTCCTTCCCCCACCTCCTTCATCTATGATCTTCTTCTCCCTCCAGTCCATGGTGCTTCACCTCCATAGCCAGAGGCAGTACATCTTCGAGTTTGACAAGAACGACCGCCTCTCTTCTGTGACCATGCCCAATGTAGCCCGGCAGACGCTGGAGACCATTCGCTCAGTGGGCTACTATAGGAACATCTACCAACCCCCAGAAGGCAATGCCTCAGTCATACAGGACTTCACTGAGGATGGACACCTGTTGCATACCTTCTACTTGGGCACTGGCCGCAGGGTCATCTACAAGTATGGCAAGTTGTCAAAGCTGGCCGAGACTCTGTATGACACCACCAAGGTCAGCTTCACCTACGACGAGACCGCAGGTATGCTGAAGACCGTCAACCTACAGAACGAGGGCTTCACCTGTACTATCCGCTACCGTCAGATTGGGCCCCTGATTGACCGTCAGATCTTCCGTTTCACGGAAGAAGGCATGGTCAATGCCCGCTTTGATTACAACTATGACAACAGTTTCCGTGTGACCAGCATGCAGGCTGTGATCAACGAGACCCCACTGCCCATCGATCTCTACCGCTATGACGATGTGTCAGGCAAGACAGAACAGTTTGGGAAGTTTGGTGTCATCTACTATGACATCAACCAGATCATTACCACAGCCGTCATGACCCACACCAAGCATTTTGACGCTTATGGCAGGATGAAGGAAGTACAGTATGAGATCTTCCGGTCACTCATGTACTGGATGACCGTTCAGTATGATAACATGGGACGGGTAGTGAAGAAAGAGCTAAAGGTAGGACCCTATGCCAACACCACCCGCTACTCGTATGAGTACGATGCTGATGGCCAGCTGCAGACAGTCTCCATCAATGACAAGCCACTCTGGCGCTACAGCTATGACCTCAATGGGAACCTACACTTGCTGAGCCCTGGGAACAGTGCAAGGCTCACACCACTACGGTATGACCTCCGTGACCGCATCACTAGGTTGGGCGATGTGCAGTACAAGGTGGATGAAGATGGCTTCCTGAGGCAGCGGGGTGGAGATGTCTTCGAGTACAATTCAGCTGGCCTGCTCATCAAAGCCTACAACCGGGCTAGTGGGTGGAGTGTCAGGTACCGCTATGACGGCCTGGGGAGGCGAGTATCCAGCAAGAGCAGCCACAGCCACCACCTACAGTTCTTCTATGCAGACCTGACCAATCCCACCAAGGTCACCCACCTCTACAACCACTCCAGCTCTGAGATCACGTCCCTCTACTATGATCTGCAAGGACACCTCTTTGCCATGGAGCTAAGCAGTGGCGATGAGTTTTACATAGCTTGTGACAACATCGGGACCCCTCTTGCTGTCTTCAGTGGAACTGGCTTGATGATTAAGCAGATCCTATACACAGCCTATGGGGAGATCTATATGGACACAAACCCTAACTTCCAGATCATCATTGGCTACCATGGTGGCCTCTATGATCCACTCACCAAGCTTGTCCACATGGGCCGACGGGATTATGATGTGCTGGCCGGACGCTGGACGAGCCCAGACCATGAGCTCTGGAAACGCCTGAGTAGCAGCAGCATCGTGCCTTTTCATCTCTACATGTTTAAGAACAACAACCCCATCAGCAACTCTCAGGACATCAAGTGCTTCATGACAGGTGAGCAGTGAGGTACACCCTAGGTCAGGACCTACCCCATTGCTCCTTGAGAAAGCTGGTATGGGGTGACTGGAGACATTGACTGTCTCTAATGGCATCCTCTCCCAAAGTCTATCTACAGAAACACTAGTTTGGAGACTAGTCTGGAAATAATGGACCCAGCATCAGGACTACCATTATATTTTATATTTTTTTTCCTTTCCATTTATTTTGCTTTTATATTACATCCTGACTACAGTTTCCCCTCCCTCGTCTCCCGCTAGTCTTGTCTTTCCTCCCCACCTCCTCTTTTCACCTCATAGTCACCCCACCTTTACCTCCCCTCAGAAAAGAGCAGGCCTTCCAGGGGCATCAAGCAAATACTGTATAACAAGCTGCAATGACACCAGGCACATCACATCCAGGCTGATGAGGCAACTAGTAAGAGGAAAAGGGTCTCAAAGGCAGGCAAACAAGTCCGAAACAGTCCCTGCTCCCACTGTTAGTAATCCCTCAAGAACACTGAGCTACACATAACATATTTACAGAGGACCTAGGTGAGACCCACTTGGGATTCCTGGTCAGTTGATTCTGTGGACAGCTATTCTTAATTTTTCATACTACACTTCAGTTTATCCAGGCTCTAAGAGGTTCTGTAGTAAAAAGTGCTCCTTTAGTATACTTACCTACAACTTTTCTAAATTATTTTGCTATAAAATCCTAATGCCTCACTGGAAACTACCTTTGGAATGCTCTCTGGGAGTTTCTGACATAGAAATCAAGCCAGATTTGAGTCCTCAGTAATATGAGTTAAGGTGTGGCTAAAATAAAATCAGTTGTTCTAACTTATGATGATGGAAAACAGATTTTGGAGACAGACAGAGCTAAGGGAATGGACTTGCCATGTCTTAGCTATGACATATTATTTTACTGCTCTGAATTTTAGTTTCCTGGGCTTATGTTAATAGAATACCACAGTCGGTATGGTGGTTCACACCTTTAAGCCCAGCACTGAGGAGGCAGAGGCAGGCAGAGGTCTCTATGAGATCAAGGCTAGCCTAGTCTATATAATGAGTTTCAGGCCAACCAGGCCTGAGTAAGTATAGTAACACCATGATCCTGTTTCAAGATAAATAAAATACTTAAAATACCTACCCTTATTCTGGTTGGCTAAATGTTCATATACTATGCTAGAGCAACTATTGGAAACCTAAAAACCAAAACAGATAAGCTGGGGGAGGGGCAGGGGATGTGAAGATCAGGAGAGATCTGGACCAGTCTGGGCTATAGAAGACCCTGCGTTTTTGTTTTTTAAAAATAACTGAATCAGGCACAAGTAGACATCATTAATAACTCAGCAATCAAAGATAAACTAGAAGATTAAGGAAACACCCAGAGTTCAGCTGGTAGAGTGCTTCCTATCATGCAGCAGAGCCCTGGCTTAGATCCAGCACTCAGAAGGTTGAGGCTGGGTGATCAAGAGTTCCACATCAGCCTTGACTACTTAGTGAGGCTAAGGCTAGCCTGGAATATATATGATACCATGTCTCAAAATAGGGGTGTGTGTGTGTGTGTGTGTGTGTGTGTGTGTGTGTTAGTGGTGGGGTGTATGTGTGTGTGTGCATACATATCATACATACATACATATGTATTGTGTGTACATACATATAATATGTATGTACATACATACATACATTGTATGTACACACAATACGTATAATATGTATGTATGTATGTATGTATCTATATATGTATGTATGTGGGTATAACATATATACACACATCCACCCCACCACCACCAAGGGTGACAGGAGATGTACATGCCTAGCACAGCTCATGCGGAATCCCTTTCCTTTACCCTTTTGCTTTAAAAAGGAATGTCACTTTTCATTCCTCCAAAACCAACTTGAATACAAAGTATCTCATGGGTCCTGCAGATGCAGACATCTCAGGCTGCTACAGTCCCTCCGGGAGCTACACAGGGAGAGTCTCTATGGGATCCAAATAAAGCCAGCCAGTTCCTTGTGAGGATTTATACTGAGAAGACCTGCTAATCTCGGGTTCAGTCCATTTGCCCCCCCTTGTGCAGCTGTTTCCTCCATCCCACCCCTCCCGGTTCCAGGCATGAGAATAGAAAGATGATCCCTGCCCTCAGATTTCTTCACTATCAGAGGGAATACACACTCTGGTCCAATGTGAGGGGCCATGAGGAAGATTGGCACAGATGGACATTAAATTACAGAAGGCTAGCAGCCGGCTCTGCCCACAGGGTTCTGGGAAGCCTTCAAAGACTAGCTGATCCTTGAGGCTGACTCCTGAATAGATTTCAAGTAGTAGGGAGAGAGGCATTCCAAAGAGTGGGATCAACATTCACAAAATTGGAAACAGGGCCTTGTGTCTAGCTCACAGACTGGTATGGGGGCATGGATGGGCTCCCTCACCCTTCACCTTGATGGTCTCATCTGGATCCCATTTCTGCTGAAATCAATAGGAGAATTCCTTTTTTCCAGGGGGCAAAAATCTAGGTTGTTCTTTTTAGAGGAAGAATCCCAGTCAAGGACTAGAAGGGAGACCAAGGTGGTACACAGGTGTCATGAAAACATACTTGGGACCTGGGGATAAATACATATATTTTGACAGCATTCCCAGCTTTTACCATGTTCAACTTGGCTGCTAGCACTACAGAGCCTTGACAGATTAGGATGACATTTTCATTACATCTGTCTGCACAAAGCACGCCCCCTGCCTCACCCTTCAGTGGGTTTCCTGTGAGACATCTTGGCATGTTACTATAGCTGGGGGAAAAAAAATACTGTAATAGGAAATGTAATTTTCCATAAAAAAAATTGTTAAAGCTTGCCAAAATATTATTGCCCTCCCCGTCTTCCTTTGTACACTACCATATGCATATAGCCTCCTTTCAGAATAGCACTGGCATGATTAAACACTCCTTGCCAAGCACTTGCAGATACCGTCTCCTTTAAGCCTGGCAACAGCTCTGTGAGATCACCACAATTATCTGCATTCTACAGATGAGATATGTGAGACCCTAAAGGACCAAGGGTCTGCAAAGAGTCACACAGAACAGGGCTCTCCGATTTCAGAACATCTCCCGTGATAATCACCCAGCCTCTAAATCCTGCTTTCTAGCACAGGATCTCAACTATCCAAGGGGCACCTTACAGTTTGTGTTTCATTTCCCAGACAGTTAAATCCAGCAAATATCATATTGGTTATACCTTCTCTGCGCCAGACCCATGCTAAACATCCGAAGGGGAAGAAGGCTTGGCTCCTGCCTTCATGGAACACATGTCCCCTTTCACAAACGTCTTTGACTGTGAGCCCGCTTTAAGAAAAGGATTTGTGAAGCTTAGAAATGTAGCTCAGTCTGCAGGGTGCCTGTTAGCATGTGTGAAGTCCTGGACTCCATCCCCAGCACCAAATAAAGTAGGTGTTGTGTTTCCATTCCTGTAACCTCAGTATTCCAGAGGTGGAGGCTGGAGGGTCAGAAGTTCAAGGTCACTCTTGACTACACAACCTGAATAGGAGGAGAGGACCTACCTCAAAAAAAGAAAATATATTTTATATCACTATAAAACACTAAAACCAACAGTTTGCAAAGCAGTTCTTAAGTTTGGTATCTATATATTTTCTAGTCTAGTGTATTCCACCTCAATGAAAATACTGGTCATGACCCCAAAATTGATTTTACCTACGAAGTGGATCCTGCGGCACATGAAAAAAGATATCTGTCATCTAAACAATCAAGCTTTCAAACATCAGAAATGATTTGCAGTGGCTAATATGAAACTAGGATTCTGCTGATTCTCGTTACACCTTACTTTTTACCTTCTCGGTGGGCTAACTGTATCCTCACTCACATCCTGAACTCCAATGGAGAAAGCTTATTTTTTTTTATCCAAACATACCTACAAAGGTCCTGAGTTATGTTCCTGTTAGGTAGGCCTGGCTCATGTGACAATGACGCAATTACCAGGGTTGAGGAGGACAGAGTGCACTGATTGGATGACCTTGGATCACATGGTCCAACACAGAAAGAATGCAGAATTGGATCATAGGGAGGCGACCCTGAAATGTCCACCATGGGTGGATGTCACACATCATCGTGCTGAGCCTTTGCCTGAGACACAGACAGAGAAGTTCAGGACTGGTAAAGTAACCCTTCACAAAGACCTTGGGAAGCCATCCTCAGAACTCTGTGGTGTTGGACTTCAAGATGCTTAGTTTTGGTTTGTTTGTTTTGTTTTTTTGGATTCAAATACATTCTGTGCAGAACAAAAGCCCACACTTGTGAAAGGGCTTCAAATCACTTGTGCTTTATTCCTCCCCCGAGGCAGCAGTGCCTTCTGGGACTGACAGGTAACTCCTGGAGCTTTTCAAGAGAAAAGAAACACTTGCCCCTGAGGTTGTAAGAGTATAGTTCCCTGCTCTTCAGAAAAGCCTGGTAGGAAAGCTAGCTAATAAATAGATGTCTGACATTTTCCTGAAAGACATGATAGCAAAGTTTTCTGTCTTCCATCTTCCATCACTCATAATTAAAGCCCAGCCCTCTCCGGCGCCCCCTGCTTTCCTAGGGATGTGCACTACTCCAGATAACCACAAAATTCCTGAAGCACATTCTCAGACTCAAGCAAAAGGGCTTTGTAAGGTGTTCCCTCCATGTATGTTCTGTTTGTTTTAATTTCCCAAAGATCCGTCTGCTGAGAATACTAGAATGAATACTGGAAATTCAGTGAGGAAAGAGCCATGGAGAAAAGCCATCCAAGCCCCTGTTATAAACAAGAAAATGGGGGTCTTGGGATGCACCATGACAGAAACCCCCTTGAGAGACTGACCTAGATATTGTACACTAAACCCAGCGTTTCAGGCGCAAGCTTGGAACAGCTCCTGCTGCCCAAGAACTGCCTCTAAATGCTATCCTTATTCTTCAGTTAAAACCATTCCTATTGTCAGGATGCAAACAAGGGAACTAAACCTCAGAGAAGTAGATTCTCCAAGTTCACTGTTCATACGCTGAGAAACCAGCACGTGCTTTGTGCGGCCTTAACTGCTACACTCTCTCCCTTCCTGTTTTCCAGCTGCACAGCAAGGCTGAAGTAAGAAGTCAAACCTGGGTCCTAGCGAGGGGCCTGGGACAATGGAAAACAAAACAAACAAATGAGGCAAAAACAAATGGAAGGTGCCTAGATAGGAGAGGTTCCTGGGTCACAGTAGTGTCAGGAACACAACTGTCGACCCCCAGAGGTCACTCCCTATCGGTAGCTTCCAGAGGGTGTCACTTCCTCCTTGGCATAGGTCATCAATGGAACCCCCTAACAGAGATGCATTTACATTGGAAAGAAACAAATGTCACCTGGCTCTGAGGCAGGCCTTAAAAAATTGTACACCACCACCACCCACCCCACCCCTCCCCTGTCACTGAGACACCCGTATTCTGGGTCTGTTTAACACATCTGCGTTATCATCCACCTCAACCCCCATAGAAGGTCATGGCTTTTGCGTTTTGTATTTGATTGGTTAGCTGGATGGTCTGTTTGTTGTCATTCTCAGTTTTGCTTTGCCTTCTTTTAAGATAGATTTCATGTAACCTAGGCTAACCATAAACTCACTATGTAGCCAAGGATATCCTTCAACTTCTGCTCCTCCTGCCTCCACCTCCCGGGTGCATCAATTTACATAGTTCTTGAAACTGAACCGAGGTCTTCATCCAAAAGAGGCAAGCACTCTACCAGCCCAGGATCATAGATTTCTGATTCCATTCTTCAGTGAGCCAAACACTCACTGGAAAAACCTTATCTGTAACTCACAACTCCAAGGAATGTGATTAGTAAGCTTAGAGACAAGCAGGCTAAGGCAATGGGAGTTCGAGTGACTTCCTTGTGCTGTCAGAAGTAAAAGACAGTAGCAAACAGGAAAGCCCTTTGATCTGCACTAGCCAGCACCATGCCCAGAGGCACTTTGGCCCTGAGGCTCTAATAACTACAAAGAGGGCTGGTAGAGGAGGGGCAGCTTGTTTCTTAAGTGAATTTTTCTCTTTTAGAGGCAGCTATTAAAATCCTTTCTTAGGTCTGACTGACCTTTGCAAGGGTTTCCTACTGAGGGTCTGTGGGTGGGCCTGGGAGAGCTTAATCTACGAGCACTACCTCTGGGTAAGCATATAAGGGGGGAGAGACATACAGCTATCTGGAAGCCTAGGCCCTGCTTAGGTTTCATCTCTCTTGGATCTACCCCTTTGAGGAGGATTCTGGGCACGTGCCTGGCAGAGGGATTCCTGGGACCCAGCAGCACATTTGGCTTTAAGACCAGGACATTATTTCCATTAAATATAACAGTCAGTTCTGTTACTTTCCCCTTGTGGCCCCTGGTCAGTGGCTCACTTACTCCCCAAGCTTATTTCTGCTTCTCTCCACCCAGATGTCAACAGCTGGCTACTCACCTTTGGATTCCAGCTGCACAACGTGATACCTGGCTATCCCAAACCAGACACAGATGCCATGGAACCCTCCTATGAGCTCGTGCACACACAGATGAAAACTCAGGAATGGGACAACAGCAAGGTAATGTTCCACATGACAGCCACACCTTGGCCATTCTGACACTGTAGTAGGGGCCCTACCAACCGTGCAGGAAAATCAAGACAAGGATGGAAACTGAGGCAGCACCTTCATGGCTCCTGCCAGACAGCTTTTAGCAGACAGCAAACTATGGCTAGGCAGGCCCCGGGGACCCAACTGTAGCAGCACACATGGACACTCACAGGCTGCATGAAGGAGTTTTTTGTAACCCACCATGTTCAGAGTACCACAAAAAAATAATCAGCTTTTGTCACTCCATGGGCAAAAATACTAAGAGAAAAGGAGTGTTCTGAATGCAAATGTGATTTTTTTTTTTTTTTTTTGAGCACCTGATGAGCCTGGCATTGAATGTCATTGTACTTATGTTAGCTCGCAAATACACCATACTGGTATTCGTCTCCTTGTACAGGTTTAATACTTGAGACAATTCAAACCCAGGTTTGTCCATTCTGTGTCCTCTGGCTGGGCATGACTAGGAGGGCTATAAGAGGGAAAAAAGTTGCTTTTCCTTATCTCCCTTTTATGACCAAATTTCAAAGACTCTGAATTATATGGCTGGGAAGATGTTTTACAACAGTCTCGTCCCACCTGCTGACCACTTACTTCACATGTTGCCCCTCCCAACCTCAGCCTCCAATCATGAATTCTGTATCAGGAATTCTGTATCAGGAATTCTGTGTCCAGCCCTGTACTGTGGCCGATGGAATGCAAGGGTGGGTTAGCAGAAACCAAGCCTAGGGGATGCTAGCCCAGGGACAGTGAACTCTGGGGAGAGCAGCAATGCCTCATGACATAATCCTGTGCTTGGAAACCTCTACCACCCCTGTTCTCCTCTTCCTCCCCCTCTTGCTCCCCCTACTTCTGCATGCGTGTGTGTGTGTGTGTGTGTGTGTGTGTGTGTGTGTATACATACCTCCACTCTTTTGAGAGAGATATTGTGTTTGTGTGTGTCCCTCACTGAACCTGGAGCTCACAGATTCAGACAAGCTGACCAAAAGGCTCAGTGATCTTCCTGCGAAGCACTGATATTACAGACATGTGCCTCCATGCTCAGCTCTTTACCTGGGTCCTGGGGATCTGAACTGAGGTCCTCATGCTTGTGGGATGTGCACGTTACTGACTGAGCCAGTTCCCAGCACCGTGTCCCTATTTCTTTCTTTTTTTTTTTAAGATTTATTTATTTATTATACACTGTAGCTGTCTTCAGACACACTAGAAGAGGGCATCTCATTACAGATGGTTGTGAGCCACCATGTGGTTGCTGGGACTTGAACTCAGGACCTCTGGAAGTGCAGTCAGTGCACTTAACCACTGAGCCATCTCTCTTGTTCCAGGCTAAATCCATCAGGCTCAGCCTCGCTACCTCCTCCCAGACTTGCAGATGAGTCTGCTCAGGTGGTCTGTTCTATTCAACTCTTGCTTTCTTTCTTATTCCTTTACTAGATTCTGAATCCCAACAGGTTATGTTACAGGTTAAGTGTCTCAGTCAGCGCCTAGCGTGTGGGGCTAGCACACTGTAGGTGCTTCGGTGACTCAGTGACAGAACCATGCAAACAGCCTGTTTCATAAATAAAGAGGCTAGACTCAGGTAAACTTACCCAACGGGGTTCAGCTGAGAAGTGACAGAAGATGACATGACCCTAGGTCTGCCTGGTCACAGAGCCCATCCTCTTTCTGCCCTAGCCTGTCCCAGACCCTCATACCCCAGCCCCTGGACCAAATGTCCCAGCATTTTGCTGTTCCCAAGGCTGATTCCGGCCATACAATACTTCCTCCCCCGCCAGGTTTCTGCTGTGCTCCCCAGAGTCCCCTTCTCTGGCTGCCTGTTTGCCAACCTTGCCTGTCAATGAATTATTGATTTCTGCCCTTGGCAAGCATTGGAGATCTTTGTTGTTGAGTACTCCAGCTTTTGTGAAACTCTAGGAAATAATTGTTCACAGACAGGGTTCTATTAATTATAAAGAGGACTTAATTTCAATGGGAGCCTGATGGGTCTATTTCTAAAGCCTGTGCCCTGAGTTGCTGATAAAGCCTGGAGCCCTGAGCACAGCTTCCCTGAGCTCCTTGAGAATGGGAGGGGCAGATAAACAGCGCACCAACTAACGGGGTCCAACCTGACCCCACAGCAGCCAAGCTGGGGACACTTGAGGAGGCCCAAGGGGGCACTGTGGGACAGAAATCCTTCACGAAGAGCTTGGGTATGAGGAGAACAGAGCAGTAGAACAATCGAGAGACTTGAGACAATTCATGGCTTTCCTAACGTCGTACATTTCTTAGACCCCTACCTTCTCCCTCTCTTCTCCACCTTTGTGTTGAGCATCTTCTGAGCCTTGTTTGCTTCTCACTGCTGCAGCTGTCCTTTACACCGGCCTCCAGAGTCAGACAGGCCTGGGTTTGAATACTAACGTGAGATGAGTGGTGGGACTGTAGGCCAGGAATGAGCTTTGTAGCCCTCATTCCCCTAGAAGTGATCTTGAAGCTGAGTACAGTGGCACACGCCTTTAGTCCCAGCAGAGGCAGAAGTAGGTGGGTCTCTGTGGGGTCAAGACTAACTTGATATACATACTGAGTTCCAGGCCAGCCAGGGCTACATACTCTGTCTTAAAAAAAAAAATGAACTGAAATAATAACGGTATCTATTATAGGGATCAAGCAGTGTTCGATGGTAATTCTTGAGCTTGAAGATAAAGAAATGTTGCCATATCTATTAGCTATGATGTATTTTGGACCACCAGTCATTATGTCTAGCTGCAACACTGTCATGTGTGTCTGGACCTATGAAACAACAAGTTCTTTGAGGGCAAAGACAATATCCAGTTCATTCTGTATCTCCACTGCTCAGCAAGATGCCTGGCCAGAGCAGCTGTTCCCTAAAGTGTCTCTAAATAGAAGGGTGTGGGGATAAACGGGTGAAGGATGGCTGGGTGGTCTGATGGTCAGCACCACGGAGACAGACGTTACAAGCTAATACATCCCCACAGATTGGACTTCACTGTTTACACTGATTCTCTGTGCTCTTGGGGGTTTGCTTTTCCCTTTGTCTTACACTCTCCCTCTCTCTTTTTCATGGCCCTCCCCCGTCAGTCTTTCCTCGGGGTACAGTGTGAAGTTCAGAAGCAACTCAAGGCCTTCGTTACCCTAGAACGCTTTGACCAGCTTTATGGCTCCACCATCACCAGCTGCCAACAGGCCCCAGAGACAAAGAAGTTTGCCTCCAGTGGTTCCATCTTTGGCAAAGGGGTCAAGTTTGCCTTGAAAGACGGCCGAGTGACCACTGACATCATCAGTGTGGCCAATGAGGATGGGCGGAGGATTGCGGCCATCTTGAACAATGCTCACTATCTAGAGAACCTTCACTTCACCATTGACGGGGTGGACACGCACTACTTTGTGAAACCAGGACCTTCGGAAGGTGACCTGGCCATTCTGGGCCTTAGTGGGGGGCGGAGAACCCTGGAGAACGGGGTCAACGTCACTGTGTCCCAGATCAACACCATGCTCAGTGGCAGGACTAGACGCTACACTGACATCCAGCTACAGTACAGGGCACTGTGCCTGAACACCCGCTACGGGACAACAGTGGATGAGGAAAAAGCGCGGGTGCTGGAGCTGGCCAGGCAGAGAGCTGTGCGCCAGGCTTGGGCCCGAGAGCAGCAGAGACTGCGGGAAGGGGAAGAAGGCCTGCGGGCCTGGACAGATGGGGAGAAGCAGCAGGTGCTGAACACGGGGAGGGTGCAAGGCTATGACGGCTTCTTTGTGACTTCCGTCGAGCAGTACCCAGAACTGTCAGACAGCGCCAACAATATCCACTTCATGAGACAGAGCGAGATGGGCCGAAGGTGACAGAAAGGGCCAAGGCCTGGACTTCTTGCCAAAGACAGCTACTCTTCTGTGGCCGTATTCCTGACTGTGTTGTACTTAACAAACAAACAAAAAAAAAAAACCAACAACAAAAAACAAAAAAAAGAACAAACTTTTTTTAAACAAGTGCAGAAAACAAAACAGAAAGATATGTGTTGCATTGTTAATTCATGCAACATCCTTTTGTTTTTAAGAAAAGAAAAACACAAATTTGGCCTTCACACATTTTTTTTTCAAAGAATGGAAGGGGTTTTTTTGTGTTTTGTTTTTTCTGTAGTGTGATCATGATGAGGACCTTTATTGTCCTTTGTTCCGTTTTTTCCTTGAGGAATTTTCCCTGTCGTTGGGGGTACATTTCTCCTCTCTTCAGGGGACACGTCTTGTCCTCATCCACCCCTAGGTACCCAGTGTGGTGTGAGACACGAGTGTCTGTGCTAACTTGTCTCATGTGTAGCCCTTTCTTCTCTGACTGGGGTTGGCAGGATTGAGGGGTGCAGAGAGTCACGGGCCCAGTGGGACCTTGGGAGCTTTGCTTAGGCTCCCACAGAAAGTGGTGAGTTGCTCTTCACCATGTTTTGTGCCTCCTGAGGACCTACATCATGCTCTGGAAAATTCCACGATGTTGTTCAGCACCTTTTCAAGCCACCCCAAACTCCTGTCTGAGCTTTATATTTTGATGCTAAATGAACCCCCCCTCTCCCTTTTACAAATCTCTAGCGTGGTTGTCAGTGCCGCCACCACCCACATAATGAAATAGAGGAAGTGTCTCCCAGGCCCTTTCCCTAGTCTGGTGACATAACATCCTGGGACTGCGAGCCCCATCCTTTCCAAGAGGTGAAAGCACCCAGGATGTCTGTGACTTGTTGATCCTCCACGATGTCCCTCGCTCGTCTCCTCCTCTCTCCCAAAGTCAGGCATGAAAACCAGCAGTGCACAGCAAGCTCCCAATGTCCAGGGAAGGCCAGGAAACCCTGTCCCCATGGCTTTGGGTTGTCCTCCCTCCAGTGCTCAGGTGCCACCACTGACAATCAGGAGTGTGGCAAGAGATGCCTTTGATTTTGATCCTGGAACAATACATAAAAAAAACAAGTCAGCCAAAGAAAGGAGTCAGCAAAGGCATGAGCCAAGAACCCTAACTAGCTCCTGGAGTCTCCTCTGCCTCCCCTGTTCAGGCTATTCCCAGAGGCTCTAGAATCCCAGAGTCTAGGCCTTCAGGAAATCCCTTCTGTGGAATTCTTCACTAGAGGAGCCCAGGCAGGAGTGGGTTTGTTTATGTTTTTAAATAAGAAGAAAGAGCTCTTTGGTATGGCGTATAGGTGACATACAGCCCCACTGAGATCAGGAATGGTGGTGCCGGAGGCTGGCACCCATGGATCGAGAAGTGCAGGCTAGCATTGTTCCGGTGAAGACCTGTGCACACAGCATTTGGAAGAGGGTAGGCATAGATACGGCCAGCGTTGGAGGATTGCCCTGAGGGAGGCAGCAGCCAGCAGGCCGGGGAAGTGTGGAGGGAGGGCAGAGGACTGTAACAACAAGAGCTGGGAGCTCTCTGGAGGATTCCTGTCCTGGTTTGTCTACCTAGATACCATTGTCATTAGCACTCACAATGTCTGGGAGACAGGGGAAGCCAAATGCTTCCTTTTGAGCTGGGCTTCTTAGAAAATGGGACTTTTATGGGTTACATTTACATTAAGTGTGGAAAATGAATTCCGAGTCTAAGCTATTCCCCGTGGGAACCTTGTTGGACTGATAAAGCTCATGGCACCTTTATAGCCTTACAGAGTCTTCAGAATATGACATGAGTTAATGAAACCAAGAAGGTCTCTTACCACACGAGGATCGGAACAGTGTGTTGTCTGCCTGTAGTTCTGCCTGGCAGAGAGAGGTGTCCAAAGCTTGTTGGGGAGGGGAGCTCTCGCCTTATGTTGTCCCACTGGGATTAGAGGATGTGTTTCGTTAAGTGCTCTTCCCGATTCCAAAAATAAAATAAATAAATAAATAAATAAATAAATAAATCTGCACACTGCTACAGCAGTGTGCCACAGCCTGCTCTAACCACTGGTTGCTCATTGCCTGTGGATCAAAGCTCTGCTGGGTCAGATTTGATGCGCCGCCCCCCCCCAGGCCCACTGTGCCCAGCACGAGTTGGTAATGGGGACGTTTCTGGCATGATCATTCTTGGATGGGATAGAAAATAGTTGGACCTGAAGCACACAGGTCTTTCTGTATCCAAAAGACATATGCCCCTCAAAACGTACTTTTGCTGTAAGGGTCCTGTGAGCAGAGTTGTCCTGTGAGTTGGCCTCGTTGATCTGTCCCATACTGGCGCTACCTGACATTGGCTGAGATCCACTGGGGACATTTACTTGTAAGACAGAGATAGCATGTGACCCAAGGGAACCATCTCCTTGTAGCTGTCCAGCCTGTGACTTCCTCCTCCGCTATCTTCCTCCCTCAAAGAATATATTTTTAGGGATCAGTGAACACTATGAGTTATTGGGTATTCTCTTTCGAAAGGAACGATCCTGTGTTCTTCCTGGGCTCCATTCCAGAGAGAGTATCTCTCTTCTACAGAGGAAATATGCAAGGATCTCTGAGCTCTAAAGGACCTCAGCTGTAGGCCAGACAGTGCCATGTGCCTCCCTTGACATTGATGCTGTCCTTCCTCAACTCTAGCCTTGGTCCCTTTGAGTTGGATTCCACCTCCCAGGTGGGTTTAAAGGCACAAGCCACAGTTCCATTTGCCTGTTTAGGAGGCTTTGAATATAAAATGCCATCCTGGATAACACCTGTCCTTTGGACACTAACTATATCTATCCACTTGAGAGAGTGACCAGGTCTTCCTCACTGGTGGAAGTTTATGATTCTGATGGGTAGGAGTTAGCTTCTGAACCGCTATAGTTTGTTTTTGCTTAGTTCCCACCTTTTCTACCCTCCACAACGGCCAATTAGTCCCTCAGCCTCAGCCCCTCCTCCATGACCTTAAACAAGACTTTCTTAGTTCCTGACCTCATCTTTTATACCCCAAGACCTCCTTTGTAGTCATCTCCCAGACAGGCATCACCAGAGGGTACTGTGGTGATACTGACTCTGTAGTGAACCACACTTTTTGAGCCTTTAACATTTGGCTCAGAATTGCTGGTGGGAAACTAGCCCAAGGTCCACACCAGTGCCTGACTCTACTGAGGGATGCTGGGTTTGAAAGAAACCCTAGGAAGCTAAGGGGAGACTGAGGCTGGACAAGTGCCTGCAAATAACAGGGATGGCATGGGGGGGGCAGATGATGCAGAAGAGCTGAGTAAGCTGGGCAGGGCTTTACAGGCACAGAGCCAAGGAAGAAGAAGAAAGGGCCTTAGCTGTGACTTTTACGTTACTGCCTTTATAGGCAAGAATTTCAATGTGACATCTTAGAACACATCTATGCCATTTGCAGCCCTCGCATTTCTGATGGCCATGTGGTGAGAGCAGTGACACTGGGCTTTGTGCCCAGGGAGATGAGCTTGCTGGCTTCCAGCAGAGGGCTGGGCTTCGGGGTTAAATCACCCATGGCACAAAGATGAGCATTCCTTCATCCACACAGCAGCCGCTTAGCCCAAGAGGCTAGGCGGATCCTGGGGGTAGGAGGAGTCACCTCCCATGGGGGTCCCAATCTCTCCTCTCCCCTGGGATCTTCATCAGGACTGAAAGCCTTCCATGAGAGGCATGCCATCCCCAGCTAGGTCAAAACCACTGTCTAATTTTGCGAGAGGGGACAAAAGTTAAAAAAAAAAAAAAAGAACTCTGTGGTTCAAGACCTTTTTATTTAGCCTTCCCAAAACAGCAAACTCATTTTAAAGACTCATTGCTCAGGTGACAGAAACTTTATCCTCTCCAACCTTTCATTCTTAAAAACCAGCCTTGTGTACTTGACTGCCCGGAACAGTGGTGGGCTCTGAGATTTCAGGGTGTTGTGGAAGATCAAAGGTGGGGAGGCATGAGATGGGGACCCTGTTGTGTTTCAGAGGCCTTGATGGGGGTCCTGTGTTGTATTTCTTACCCTCTGGGGAATGCCAAAGGCGTGAGACTGGGCTACTTCCTAGTCCCTAAGAAAAATGTGATTGATTCTAAGGGCTGATGGTTCAGGGATGACTGCCCGTGGGCAGGCTCGGCTGTCCCAGCAGAAGCTGACCCACAGATGTCTGGTGGTCCCCAACAGCTCTAATCCACTCATCACCAGAACCCCACTGTTCTAAATGTGCCCGTCATTCTGAGGACTTCTGAACCTGCAGCTCTGGCAAAGGACGATAATGAGCTGCCTCTGGATGACCAACACTGGAGACTCTGGCCTTACCATGTGGAAATAGTTTTCCTGAAGTCTGGAACTAATTTTGAGAAGTTTTTTTCTCAACACTTTTGTGTTTCTAACACTGTATTCTTGACTGTGTAAATACCACCAAGGCTGTAAATAAATGCAGATGTAGAAACCTTCTAGAAAAAAGGGGAAAAGCATAAAAACAAACCCAGAAGTGATCCCGTGTAGCCTTCGTTGACAAATAAAAGACTATTTTGTGTTTAAAGGTGTGCAGTGGCCTTTGTTGGGAGACAGTGGCAATTACCAGGAGGGCTGGAGGAAGGCCCCCACCTTAGTCCCAGAATCCCTTGCGGGTCCTACCACTCATGAACAGAGATGTCTGGAGGATCACAGAAGACCCAAGGCCTCACTTACTAAAAGATGAGGTGCACATGGAGGCAGCTCTCACCTCAGCTAGTGCCAAGCTGCCCCCAAGCAGTATCCTATCCTGGTTCTTATGCTCACTGGCTTCAAAGACAGATTCCAAGGGGCAGGAACACCTGGCCCCATCCACCACCAAACACAGGAGCTGCCACAGAGTTAGGGCACCTTACAAATGAGCGGGAGTGTGTTCAACTGAGATGTGGTAATAACCACATGGTACAACTTAGGGAGAGAGGAGAAAACTCCTTTAGTGGTGTAGGTGTTTTCCCACTGTGTTCTTTTCTTTCCAATCTAACGTAGTTCTAATCACAGTACATGGAAACCTCTCTCATTCAGTCGCACACTTCAGCTATGAGCCATCAATACCAGTGGTGAATGCTGGTATCTTTGAATAGGTTATTTACTAAGCCCAGCTCCCAGGTGTATGTGGTAAACTTTACGAAAACTCAAACAACTGTCCTTCTAGGTCAGGATGCCATCCCACTCTCATTGGTCCCAGGTTGGCCCTCACCAAGCTCTAGGGAAAGGAAGATCAAGCTGTAAGCCCCTTCCTTCCATCCAGGTCAGATGGAGACTTCACTGCAGAAGCGACTGGTGGCACCAGCAACGCAGCCCTACACTGTGAGTCACCTTGGCATGGATAGCGGTTCCAGTGCTATGACCTACTCTGCATTCCAGATCTTGCATCTCCATGAGAGGATGGTGGCACAGACCTCCTGGCCCATTACTTTTCGTGTCTCTTAAAGAAGGAAGTATGTAAAGTAGCACACTGCTCAGAACATCATGTCCTCTCTGCCCAGCCCAACCAACCCAGCCCCTTCACTGCTGTCCAAAGCTCACACTCGTTACACTATAGCAATGTTTCTCAAACTTTGAGTTTATGAAAATATAGCACCTCCCCCTCCTACTGAATGCCTGAGGAAGCAGGCCTGGAGTGTAGCCCCAGAATGTGCAATGCTAATAGGTTCCCAGGTATTACTGCTTTGAGAACTGCTGGTAACTATACTACCTTCAATGCTGTGTGCAGAATAAACTGTTTAACGTGTGTGACACTTTAGAGGCCCCGAGTCAGCAAAATCTCCCATTTCTCCCAGTGGGACAGCTGCACTAGCCCCACCCCATGCACCTTTCCTTTCATGTGTGCCACAACAGGCTGCCTGAGAACTTAGACCATCCAGTCAAGCCCCCAGACTTCCACATCTGTCAGCCGTGCATACACAATCTTCACACCCAGCTGAAATAAATTCTCCAAAACTTTTCCACACTCTGTCTGCTCTCAGAAGATACCCCCAATGCATCATCTAAAACTGACCTGAGCTGTTCGAGATGTTCACTTCAGGAGTGAGTGAGCGCCCCAGGTCACTCAAGACTAAATCTTAATTCTCTGTGTTCCCAGTGCCCCAAACAGAAGTCCAGCTCCTCGTTAGTCAAAGGTTAGCCTCTCTTTGACTTCAGGCCCCAGATGCCCAGTGTAGAGTCGTCAGTCCACAGCGGCCTGAAGAGCCAGACTCTTCTGGCCCTCTCTACACTTAAGTTTCTAGGACAGCCCACAAAGACTCAGTAGGGTTGGCTGTGGAGAATGAACACACACAGCCTTCATTCATCTAATTCAGAGAGGCTGGTAGAGTCTTGTGTCCTGCCTCAGAGTGAACACATAAGAGTCCCTGGGTTAGAAATGAATGCAGCCAAGATGACAGGACATTCAGTTAGCAGTGAACGGGGCTCTAGGTACTTTTGCTCACCAGTTTCCCTGGCATCTGCCACAGGAAGCACCTGTAGATATCTGTTAAACAAAACGTGCACACATCTCTGATTCTGTAAGAGCCCGCCCCACCCTCTGCCAGGGTCTCTGGACTGCTCCCCTTTATTCCTCACCTCTCCCCACTTTGATTCCCATTCTGTAACTGACTCCAAAAGCACACAGGAAGAGCACCCCACTGAGTGAGTGCTACTCAACTCTTTTTTTTTTTTTTTTTTTTTTCACAGGATTGGTTTTTCGAGACAGGAGTGCTACTCAACTCTTAGGCCAAAGGTCTGCCCCAGTCTCCCTCACCAGATACTTTGGGAACAAGCACTGTG